GTTGAATTTGTGAACTTAACAAGCCTTAAGTAAAGCCACAGCATTCGACAACTTTGAATAAAAAGCATTATCATACTTACCATCTACGGAATGCTTCCTTCAATGGCAATAACATCCTGGGGTATAACAACGGTATTAGAAGCTGCTCTGGAACTGCCCCCATTCAACACGTACCTACTGAGCTCGTACTGTGTGCCATGCATCGTTCCGGGCCCTTGGGATGAGACAAAAATTCCACCCCAGTGAGACAGGGAAACTGAAGGGCTCCATAGAACTCTTTTTCTTCCTTTTCCTGCTTCTATTTCCCCCTCTGCTATTCTTGCTAGGACCTGCACCCCCATTTTACACATGCCTTATAATGCAAATAGTGGATGTCGTCCTTGTAAGGGACTTCTTTAGAATAGATAACTTTTTTTTATCCTATTCTATCCTAGTCTGGTGAGAATGACCAGAGGAAGCTATCATACAGTATTCAGACCACCTGCGCTAGACATCTGGACACCAAGATACCCTGGCTTGAAGGAGTAAGACCTGGACCCTCATCTTTGTTCTCACTGGTTCCTGGATGCCTAAGAGGACACCTACACCCGACCACCGACTGTCCTCAGTGAAAAACCCCAGACCCCAAGCAAAGACGAGGCTCTCTCTTTTCCTTTGAATCCCCCTGACACTGTCTGTGATCGTACTCTCTCTGTACCTTCAATAAACTCTGTTTTCGCCTCCTGCACGCCTCCTGCACGCATCCAGGGACCCTCTTAAGTACCCCCTTAAGACTCTGGGTCCGCAGAACGGCCTGCCAGCATCACCGGGATGCCTTTTTACATGCTCTTTATATTCTCTGTATACTACACAAACGAATCTAACTTGTAAAGAGCTATACGAATTATAGAGTTCCCTTCAATGGCTCAATAAATGGAGAACCCTGGCGCAGATCACCCTTACAAAACCGAGAGTTAAGATGCCATTAGCTTGACCGGCCGGGCAGACCACGAAAGCAAATCCACAGAAGCTGTCTTTGCCCAGTTTTTCTCCCCAGAAATATTCTTTGCGGGGAGCAAGGGTTTCTCCCAGCCTTTCGGGCTCGAACTCGCGGAGGGAGGAGGGTGATGGCGCGGGTCGGACTCTGCGACCCCAAAGAGGACGCCCGTCTCCCTGCACAGCCCCCGGGGGTGGCGGACCCGTCGCCCTGCGGTCCAGCACCTCTTGGTCACCCTCTGCGCCCCTGGAACGTACCCCAGCTCCAGACCTCCTGACCTGCCGCCACTAATCCTCAGCGAGACGCAAACGCGCCCCCTGGTGGAGGCGTGCAGCGCGGCCGACGGGACCGGAACAAAAGTGTTCTACGGAACGCGGTGCGGGCTCAGAGTTTCCGGGGAGGAGGGCAGAGGAGGACCTGCGCGAGGCGGTTCCTTCGGCAGCGGAGGAGGCAATGGCTCTGGGGGTCCGGGGGCTGCGCCTCTGGCGGGCCGCCCCTGCTGGCGGGGCTGGCTGGAGTGAGTTTCAGCGGCCGTGGGGACGGAGAGAGAGGATTAAAGGATTGTCGGCTCGGATTGGGCCTGAGGCGGGTCCTGGGAGGTCTCACGGGGCTGCGGGCGCAGGAGGGTCTTTACGTCCTGGCTGTGGCGGCCACCCCTTCCCGGCCCGGGGACACAGATCTCGGGGCGCCGGCTGGGTAGGGGGCCGTGGGAGGAGCTTGGGGCGCCTCTGAGAAGGACCCCGCGTCGTGGTGCAAACGTGTCCTTATTTTCCCATTGGAATACTCGTAGGGGCTTTGTCAAATCCTCTGATTGAGGGTTTGGAAAATAAGCTCAGCATTTCTCGCTCCAGATATCGATAGTTTTGGCGAGGGATCCCCGGTCTCCTGGAGCTTTCTTGTCCCCAAAACGTTTCAAGGCGACAACTTTGCTCACCTTCCCAGTGACTAGTGTGACTTTGACTACTTCCTGGTTACTTTTTGCCTCTTATTGTAAAGCACAGATTGGAATACGACAGAGGAAATTGATGGGCAATGGGGATCTGATGGTGAGAGAGCCAAGTTGAAGGAAAGGTGTGGATCTGGGCTAGCTGCGGGTTTCTTCCCTTGGCATTTTAGTTATTAATATTAGAAAGTGGTTTAAGTTCATCTCTGAGCGCATTTTGGCGAACGGCGTTTTAAAATCGTGTTGCCCCGCATTCATTCTTGTAGGACGGTGGTGCGGGGTGGGGTATCATCGGTGTGTTACTCATTCACTGTTTATATTTATCGTAACTGCTACACAGGATTGATAGCAACATCGCCAGCTACGCACCTGTCACCGACAGAACGGATAGAAATGCAGAATGACCTCTTTAATAAAGAGAAAAACAGGCAGTTATCATTAACTCCTCGAACTGAGAAGATTGAAGTTAAACACGTTGGGAAAACGGACCCTGGCACTATCTTCGTGATGAATAAAAACGTTTCAACTCCTTATAGTTGTGCTATGCGTAAGTAGTGAATCAGGATACAGTTTTGACTTTCCCATAAGCTGTGCAGAAGGACTGGTTCAGAAGAGACAAGACTCGGTAATTGCTCCCTGACCTTATAGAAGTTCTTTATCCAGCATCTTCCTCTCTGTTCACTGTCACTTTAGCTCTGGAGGGTCCTGTGGGTCTTGAAAGGTTGGTACTGTGATGCACAGGTTTCCTGGCACTCACTTGAATCTGGCTAGGTTTGGGGTGCTGTAATTGTTTCTGGCAGAAGAAGACGGAGGTGAAAGCCTTGTTACTATATTAGTGTGCTTGCCTTTTTTAGACAGCACCCATGGGGGGCTCGTTAAAGGAATTTGGGATAGAGGGACCGCCCAGGCCTCCGAGGACCAGCTTTATAGGCCTTCTTTTCCTTTCTAGCTCTTTATGGCCTAACTTAAACCTTAGGTGCTTCCCGCTTGTCTGATTGTGTGTTATGTGTTTCTTTATACTTCCGTGTACATGTAGTGAATGTGTAAGTGGAAGTGTGCATGGGGTGAATGCGGTTAGGGTAAAAGTGTGTGTTGGGATTCATATCTTAAAGGAGAGGACTGTGCCCTGTGTGTGATTTGGTGTGTAAATGAAGGGAACAGAGCCTCTGTATGGATTATTATTATTTTTTTTTAACGTTTATTCATTTTTTTGGGACAGAGAGAGACAGAGCAGCAGAGCGGGGGAGGGCAGGAGAGAGGGGAACACAGGTCCGGAAACCGGGCTCCATACAGACCTACATCAACCCAGAGCCAAGCGGGGCTACAGGACCCCAGTCGTGACCTGGCTGGTAGCAACCGACTGGCAGAAGCATCTAATGGATTATTGCAGTCAAAATGCTTTCAAAGCAGCTTTGATAGAACTGGTAATATTTAAATTTAGAAAGCTCTCCAAATAGGTATATACACCAGGATGCTCATTTAAACCACATTGTTTAAATTTTTGGAAAACTGAGTAGTGATTCCATTCAAGTAATTAACAATTTTAGTTAAAAGCTTAAGATAGTCTACATTCTCAGTCTTTTTTTCACTCTGGCACTTGGATGAGTCCTTATGACCGTTGTTTGGTTGTTCTGTGAACATTTATTTGAACCTTTGCTGTGTGATAGGCATTAGGATTACAGGGGAGGGTTAGGACGAAGCACAGGCCCTTGAGGGGTTTTGTGGGTTTTGAGGGGTGGAAATGAAGGCTTTGTGTCCCCCCTCAGCATGACACCTGCACTGACAAGTGCTTCTCATTCATACTTTCGATCGTTCAGTACACTTTTGAGTATTTACTGTATTACAGGCCTGGGGCTAGGTTCTGGATATACTAATGAGTGAACAAAAACAGACATGATCCTCTCTCTGTGGGACTTATTTAGACTCTAACCCTGTAGTTTGAGCACTTCCGTGACTAGCTGTGTACTTGAAGAACATCTAATCAGGCTTAGAGTTAGAGTTGCATTCCGGTCAAAGAACAGACCAGGGCTGATGGGCTTATATGTGAATTCATACCCATAATTAAAAACTGTTAAGGTATTTGACTTGGACAGTCCATGTTAGGGAAGGACGAGGTTGTGTAGGAGCGAGACACCCAACCCATTTTGACCAGATTTACTACGGATGTATATTTATATATACAAGTGTAACTCTTGGCAAATTGTTTTATTAGTTAATAATAGATTAACTTCAAATTAGACTTAGCCTCAATGGTTTTCGTAAATGGTTTTGGCAGTTTTGTTAATAATAACACATTGGGTGTGTTGGGTATTATTTTTTTATTGGTACAGAGGTACTATGTAATACTTTTTTTTCTCCCAGAGGAAGTCAGCTTGCAGAATCTCGCCTTTCTGTTGGTTTTATTTCTTAATGTAGCACTTAAACACGTAACTTTTCAATTTGAGTTTTGTTAGATTCAGACCTTCAATCTATTTTAAATTCCTAGATTTAAGTGAGTGGTACTGCAGGAAGTCCATTCTGGCTCTTGTGGACGGACAGCCTTGGGACATGTATAAACCTTTGACCAAATCCTGTGAAATTGAATTTCTTACTTTCAAAGATCGTGATCCTGGAGAAGTGAATAAGGTATTTCTACTTCTGTGTTCTTTTTTTTTTTCTCCTAGTGTTCTTCTTTTTATTAACATCTGTTTTGCTTTGGAGTATGAGATGTGCAAACGTGGCCAACGTCAAATGTAGTAATGCCCGTGATAATCAGCGTTTTGATTTTTTTGCATTTTCACAAGCTCCCAAAGTACCAGTGGCATCCTTTCTTTGTATTTTGGTTTGAGAAAACTGTGTGACTTGTATTTTACTTTCATGACTTTGTTCCACAGACATTTGTTGATTATCCTCTATATTTCATTCTCTCTACTGCTTGAATTCAGCCGTTGACCATCGTTGGATTATTTCAGTAGCTTTTTAACTCTCTGTCCCCACCTCCCTCTTTAATACTAAAGTCTTCCTTAGTAGGCCTGCAAGACTTTGGTTAAGCGACATGACTGAGTGTTGTGTCATTTCTTCCTCATGACTTTTCAGGCCCTGTGGGATCTGACCCCAGCGTGGCTTTCAAGCTTCACCTTCGCTGCATCTTTCCACTTCCTCTCTGCTGTGGCCACATTTGAGGACGTGGTCACTAGTGGTTTTTGCTGTGTGAGCCTCCTGGCTTTTATAGGTGTCCTTCTTCAACTCGGGGTATTTTCTTTCCTCCCTGTTAAAATCCTGTTTATCGTTTATAGTTCTATTAAAATGCTGTCTGCTCTGTGGAATCTTCCCAGTTTCTTCTTGTCAGGATGAATCCCTCTGTTTAGGGCCTCACACTTAGCTAACTTCTTCAGATATAGTATTTTAATCATGCCTTGTGATGTGAACTGTTGAATGCATTGGATTCTTGGCTCTGTGAAGACAGGGATCACATCCTCTATTGGACCCAGTCCTTGACTTACATACAATGGGTATTTAATAAATACATGTTGAAATAAAACACTTAAGCAAGAAAACGATAGATATGATAATAGTAGCTTATATCAAGTATTAATTATGTATCAGGCACTGTCAGGTGATTTACAGGTATTAACTCATTTAATCTTCATAAAAACCACATAAAAATAGATGCTATCGTTCCCATTTCCCAGAAGAATAAACTGAGGCAAAGAGAGGTTCGGTAGCTTGACCAAGGTTACCAGTTTAGGAAATACTAGAGCCTGGATTTTAGTCCAGGCATTCTGATTCTGGAGTTCAACAGACATTAAACACATTTAAGTAGGATAGACGAGGAAGTGCGTTTTGCTACTTGCCTTCAAGACCTGAGTTTGTACTCCTTTTTAGTGTATGTTGTGTGGTTCTGTAGGATACGTTCTGGAGCGGTCTCTGCTGCACACAGCCAAGTGGGCCCACTCTTGTCCGCAGATGTGAAGAGCTTGTGAAAGTCAAGTGCCCAGTTGTAGTAGTGCCAGTGTGGGGCACAAGATAGGCGGGTATGATAGGACTTGAGTTTCTCTTTACGACTCTGATAAGGTCATTGCATGGATACCCACATTAGGCATGTCCATGGGTCAAAATGTGCGAGTAAAACGAAAGCCCAGTTAATAGTGAGTTTGCTCTGCCGTAAATATGAGTAACTTGGGTGATGTGCTCTGTGGTGTTAGGCATAGGAGAGGAGTCACAAGTTCTGAAGAGTTCAGTGTTCCCTCTCTATTATATATGGCGTAAACAGGTGTATATTAATATGTATATATTTTTTACTTTAGTACAGGTTTGTTAACAAGTTCTCTTTATCCTGGGTTAAAGAGAAAAGTTGCTACCGGATAGTAAAACTATCTTGTGTTTGATAAACATCATAGTGTGTGATATCTTGTACAGAAACACTGCTAACAACAGAAGTTGGTACTTCATTCTTCAGTGCTTTTTGCTCGGTAGAGGTGATGTCGTGGCCTGATGTTAACTATTGCTACGTGCCAAGGATGGATAGAAAAATAGTTCCTAAGTCAAAAGTTAACCAAAAATTTCTTTTTATTTACTTATTTATTTTTCAATTTACATCCAAGTTAGTTAGCGTATAGTGCTACTATAATGATTTCAGGAGTAGATTCCAGTGATTCATTCCCAATGTGTAACACCCAGTACTCATCCCAACAGGTGTCCTCCCTAATGCCTCTTACCCATTTAGCCCATTCCCCCTTCCCCCACAGCCCCTCCAGCAACCCTCAGTTTGTTCTCTGTGTCTAAGAGTCTCTTATGTTTTGTCTCCCTCTTTGTTTTAATACTATTTTTGCTTCCCTTCCCTTATGTACATCTGTTTTGTATCTTAAATTCTTTTTTTTTTTTTTTTCAACGTTTATTTATTTTTGGGACAGAGAGAGACAGAGCATGAACGGGGGAGGGGCAGAGAGAGAGGGAGACACAGAATCGGAAACAGGCTCCAGGCTCTGAGCCATCAGCCCAGAGCCTGACGCGGGGCTCGAACTCACAGAACGCGAGATCGTGACCTGGCTGAAGTCGGACGCTTAACCAACTGCGCCACCCAGGCGCCCCTTGTATCTTAAATTCTTCATATGAGTGAAGTCCTATGATATTTGTCTTTCTTTGACTGGTTAATTTTGCTTAGCGTAATACCCTTCAGTTCCATCCATGTAGTTGAAAGTGAACCTAAATTTTAATATTGAAGAAACAGTGAATCTTAGTGTGTATTATGTTTGTGTATGTTTTATTTTTCTAGGCTTATTGGCGTTCCTGTGCCATGATGATGGGCTGTGTGATAGAGAGGGCATTCAAAGATGAATATGTGGTCAATTTGGTCAGAGCTCCAGAAGTTCCTGGTAATGTACATATGCGTGCACACACGGATTTTGTAATCATTGAATATTTTGGTACCTATTTTTGATATTTTATAGAGCTTCTATTTTTTCTTTTTTAATTTTTTTTTAATGTTTTTATTTATTATTGAAAGAGAGAGAGAGACAGAACATGGGCAGGGGAGGAGCAGAGAGAGAGAGGGAGACACAGAATCCAAAGCAGGCTCCAGGCTCTGAGCTGTCAACACAGAGCCCGATGAGGGGCTCGAACTCACGAACCATGAGATCATGTCCTGAGCTGAAGTCGGACACTTAACTGACTGAGCCACCCAGGCGCCCCGAGCTTCTTTTTTTTTTTTTTTTAGCTCATTTCTAATTTTATGTGATAGAAATTACTGTCGTACATACATTCCATTTATAACCGGTAACGAAATCCATCTTATTTAATTACTGGAGGTCAATAATTAACATAATACAATTCGAGGATAATGTTTCTCTTGAATATGAATTCTGTGTAATTACCCTGTTTCAGTGTTTGTTTCCTACCACTTTAGGCACTTACTTCTAAATCGAATGTGTGGAGGAGGAGGAAATAGGAATATAAATAGAATTCTGGAAAAAGCTATGTTTAGGAGGTACCGTTTCAGCAGAAATGACATGACTCTGGGGCGGGGGGGGGGGGGGGGGGAACACTTTTGAGAAGATGGAAGAGTTCACAGCCTTTGCAATTTTGCCAAGATTCTGCATCAGTATGTGCAATAGGATCGCATTTGTAAATTTTCAAAAAAAGATAGGAGTATATACGCCAAAAAACTTAAAAAAGCTCAATAAGTGATTCTAAGAACAAAACAACAAAAACAAAGCTTAGAAGACATTAAAAAATTCAACATTTCATGCCCACGTAGTCATTTGTCTACATATTAAATATCTGATTCTTTTGAAGTTTTATGTCTAGTAACTATGAAGTCTCTATAGTGATAATATTCTGGATGAAAATGTGAATGTTTAAGAAGTACTAGGGATTTTGGTTCAACAAAAAGAGAGTGAGTGAGGGAAAGCTGGTAGAGAGAGCTCTGGCAAGAGCTGGGATAATGGTAACTTTTATAATTTGTAGAGTTGGCAGAGATTGCTGGCCTTCCCTTTTATGGTCTAAATATTCAGTTGTTGCAAATTAGTAACTAGTAGATTTGACTTTGCCTCTCATTTTGGTTGGATTTACAGTAATCTCTGGAGCCTTCTGCTATGATGTAGTTCTGGATAAGAGACTTGATGAGTGGATGCCAACAAAAGTAAGTATAGTGTTTAGAATATGAATTTTAGAGTATGTACCTTCTTTGGTTAGAACGATTCTTGTGTCAGTGTTGTTGAGTGATACTGCATGTTGAGGATATTTGAAAGACCTTACCTGCCTACCTGTGTTGCATTTTCAGTGTATTCAAGACAGAGCATAGGAATGGGGGTTTTCCTCATGTGGTCAGCTTTATGTCCTGCTTGACCTTTTCTGGAAGTGCTTTCTTCCTTGTACTGTTCATTCCTTTTCTTAAGATAGTGGTTTTCAAGATGCCCAAGCTATCAAATTTACAAGTTTTATTGTCTTAGTTGATGTGGTGGTGAGGGCCTGGAGCCTTACTAACTTCCTGGGTCCTCAGAGCACAATGTAAAACTCATTGCCCTAACCGTTTTAACCTGTTGCATACTGCGAGGTCTCCCTGTATACCAGGGTTACGCTGAGAGGAGGGGTGGAGGGGGTAGACGGTTAGTGAATTAAGAATCAGACTTTGACAAAGCTAAGCTAACTCAAATAGCAACAGACTAGACTCTTGGTGAATGGTCTGATTGCATGATGAGCGTTCTCCTGTTTGATCTGGGAGTTGGGTAGCACCAGGGACCTGGCTGACAAGACGATCTGGATCAGATTCTCTGTGGGTAGGATGTGCCGGTGGCTTTCAGATGTCCAGCCCAGAGATTTTAGTTATGATTGGGGAGACAAGGCAGATGCCTGATTCTTAATTAAGCAAAACCGTATGTTCTACAGATTGAAAGTCTGGAGGTCAGAAAAGGAAAGGCAGTGTAGCATAGCATTTTATCAATTCCACAGTGTACGTTTTTTTCACATTTTAGTATTTCTGGAAATGTCTTAAAAAAAATTTTTTTTAATGTTTATTTGTGAGAGAGACAGACAGCAGAGAGCGAGCAGGGGAGGGACAGAGAGACAGAGGTACAGAATCTGAAGCAGGCTCCAGGCTCTGAGCTCTCAGCACAGAGCCTGATGCAGGGCTTGAACTCACGAACCACGAGATCATGACCTGAGCTGAAGTCGGATGCTTAACCGACTGAGCCTCCCAGGCGCCCCCAAAATGTGTCTTATAATAGATGGCATCTTACGATTATAATTGCCAGTGTTTTTTTCCTTAGTGGTACATTTTAGTGAAATATTATAGTTCCTAAAAGCAAAATTTTGGAGTCAAAGCAGATTCAGGTTTAAATTCTGACTTTGGAAGTTATTTCTTGTATAATCCTGCTCATGTTGCTTAGTGTCAACAGGGAGAGAGGAGGGAAACAGGAAAGAACAAAGAAAGGGAGGGAAGAGTGGTAGAAAGAGAGATAGGGAAGGGGGCAGGGAAGGGATTGAAACTTTTTCTTCGTGATCTGTGAACTGTGTCAATATAATTTATTTTTCAGATATGCCCTCAAGTTGAAGAAGTGATTCTTACTTTATATATTTGCATTATTTATGTCATAAAAATGAATGCAATCAAGATTCACTTCTGAGCTGTAAAACTTGCTGCTTCTTTTTCCTGTTTTAAATATAAAACTTAAAAGGGCACCTGGGTGGCTCACTTGGTTGAGCCTCTGACTCTTCATTTCAGCTCAGGTCATTATCTCACGGTTCTTTAAGTTCGAGACCCACATAGGGCTCTGTGCTGACAGTGCAGAGCCTGCTTGGGATTCTCTCTCCCTACCTCTTTGCCCTTCCGCCACTGTCTCTTTCAAGATAGGTAAATAAACTTACAAAAACAAGTTTTAAATATAAAACTTAAAAGGCACTGGCTAATTGCAGGCATCATGGTATTGGGTGGACTGCTTAGAAGAAGTGGTAGAGAGTTACGCAAGGAACAGCTGTATAAACTGTGAATGTGGATTTGTTATACAGTCAATTATCCCTTTAAGAATGGAGAAGAGTCATTCGTGCAAAAAAAGTCTCATAGTTTATGGAAATAATTTTATTACAAAAGTTGTGTAATAGTGCCTGGTTTTTCTGTATCAGTAATGAAGGATCTATAGTATGAAAACTCAATTATGGTTTTAATAAAAATCTCAGATATTGTTAATGTGTATTAATGATTTTAATTGCATAAAACGTCTTCATTAAACAGGTTTTTAATATTAGATATATGCCATATTTGGGGCAGGGCCAATGATGACATTACGTTTCCTGGTGAAACTTTCTGAATCACATAAACAGTGTTTTCCCTGTGCATTTATAAAAGCTTAGTTTTGCTTACAATGTAAACAGATTTTTATATCTTTTATTTCTTAGCGTTTCTAACTGCATCGTTGTTTTAATGAACATTTGTTTAATTATGTAATTCGAATAAAAACTTAAAATTTCTTTGTAGGATTATCTTTAATAATTATTAATATAGACTGATATCTTAATTACAAGTAAATTACAAGTTTATAGTTCATAGAGTTGAGATAAATTGTTGACCTTACATTTTATGGTCTAAAAATGGTCTAAATAATTGTTGCAAATTAATAACTTTCTTTCCGAATAAGTTTGCTTTTGCTTTTTCTTTTAGTTGGATTTATAATATTTAGCATACGATTTTATCTTACCTTCCTTATGGAGAAATGCTTTTAAGTAAATTGTTACAAAAGGTTAATACTTTCCTTTCCAAGGAGAACCTGCGTTCCTTCACAAAAGATGCCCGTGCTTTAATTTACAAAGATCTTCCATTTGAAACTCTGGAAATGGAAGCAAAAGTGGCATTGGAAATATTTCAGCACAACAAGTAAGTGTTGGCTTCCTTGAAAGCAAGGCTAAACCCCCCAAAGTTACATGTAATGAAGGAAATTCAGCTCTTAAGAATCTTTATATCTGATGTGGGTAGGACACTGTTCTATTTTTAGCTCTAAGATCTCTTTTTCTGTACCAACCTATTTACTTTCATTCGTCCCACTTCCCAGCCTCTTTACTTATTTACTTACTCATGCCATTATTTATTTCCCTGAGAAAAAAACTTCGCTCACCTTTGGTAATTTTCTCACTTGGTCTCACTTCTCTGTTTCTCTGGCTGGTCCGTCCTCATATCAGCTTGGTGGTGTGTTTCCCTCTGTTCCTTCCATCGTGAGGTGATAGCATACATGAAGCTGTATCATTTTGCACGTTCGGCAGCCTTTCCTTCTCATCCTCTACTCTTTAAATGCGAAGGGTGAGATAGAGAATGCCCGTGGTCTGGAGGGAGCTAAGGGGAGAAGTGAAACGTTTACACAGCCGGGTGGGTCTTCGTCTTCTGCACCAAATTATCCATTAGGGAGATTTTCTTTGCCAGCATTTTATTTATTTATTTATGTATGTATGTATGTATTTATTTATTTATTTATTTATTTAAATTTTTGGGACAGAGAGACAGAGCATGAACGGGGGAGGGGCAGAGAGAGAGGGAGACACAGAATCGGAAACAGGCTCCGCGCTCTGAGCCATCACCCCAGAGCCTGACGCGGGGCTTGAACTCACGGACCGCGAGATCGTGACCTGGCTGAAGTCGGACGCTTAACCGACTGCGCCACCCAGGCGCCCCCTTTGCCAACATTTTAAATCCTCCCTGCGTTCTTAATTCCCTTTCTCACTCGGAAAACTTCCAGTTTACCTTTTACTAATTGTAACAACATAAACTATGTTTTAGTATTAATCTAATTGAAGCTAGAACTAGTTAGGGAAATCTACATTGCAAAGAAAATAACATAGATGCTAGATTCTGAAGACAGAATATGCTCTTGCAAATTGTTCAAGGTTCTGGATTGGAAAATCTTTAGGTATTTGTGAATTGAGACATACGTTCTCGTAATGGTAGTTTATAATATTTTGCATAGCCTGGAACCAGTGAATTAGAAAGCAATAGGAATGTACTATTTTAACAGAACTAGAGTGCAGGTAGTTCTGTAGAACCAAACCACCGTTGATTCTATAAGAAAATTCCTTGGATTGTTAGAACATATCAAGACACTTCCAGTGCCCCAATTCTAGGGTCATGCTGTCCAATAGAGATATAATGTGAGACATCTAGAGAAGTAAATTTTCTGGTAGCTACAGTAAAAAAGTCAAAAGAAAAGGTGAAGTAAATTTTAATAATACATTTTATTTAAAGTGTATGTAAATGTTATTTCAACATGTGATCAGTATTTAGAAATTAATGATATTTTGTATTCTCTTTTTCATACTAAGTCCTCAGAATCTGGTGTGTTTTAGTCTTGAGGCACATTTCAGTTAGGACTAATTACATTTAAGTGCTCCATAGCTTCCATAGTTTATTTACTCTAGCTGTTCATTCCATGTGATTTCCCATCCCCTCCACTGGACTTTCAAAGTCCAGGAGAGGCTTATAGGACTTTGGTAAGTTAGTTGAATGTGTGGAAGGACGTAGGGATGGCTTGGGGCAAGTTTGAAGGGACAGAGTTTTGGATGGTTGAAGGTAGATCTGTGATTGGGCTTTTCTGCTGCAGGGAGAGTTTTAACTGGCTTCGGCTCCCCGGGGACAGGTGCATTTCTTCGAGTTGGGTCAAGAGAGACAGGTAGTCAAGGTAACTGGCATCCTTAGTAATGCATGGGGGCTTTGGCAGAAGGGGTGTGGGCGGTAGGTAGATGTTTGCACGTGAACTAATGCTTCCCGAGTTTGCCATATACAAACGTGATACTTTTTAGCACTCTGGCATGAAGAGAGAAGGCTCTTAGTAGTGAGTGGTAAAGTTATGGTTTGTACCTGGGCTGTGCAGTTCCGTCTGTGCTATTAGCTGTAGTGACAGAACTGGGTAGGTTTGAGAGACATTTAGGCAGTAGCATTGACGTGATTTGGCAATGCGTTGGATGGAGGGGGTGTGGTAGGTGAAGCAGGAATTGAGGAGATCCCTTCAGTTTTTCTCTCAGACACATGGGTGGTTGGTGGTGCCATTTGCTAAGCGAGGAAATTCAGCAATGAGGGTAAGTGTGGTGGGAAAAGAAGGAGCAAGTTTTCACTCTGTTTGAGAGTTCAGGAGTGTAAGATGCTTGTGGAGCAGCCTAGTGTGTGTCCGGAAGGGTCTTAGATACATAGTTTGGGGCTCAGAAGAAGGATGTGGATTAGACGCTGAGATATGGAAGATAAGGACACAGAAGTGGTAATTAGAGCTGTGCGCATCAAGGAGCCAGCCCAGGGAGGATGCTTGCTTGAAAGGAGGCTTCAGGACAGGTCCCCTGAAGGGGACAGGAGAGGAAGAGTGGCCAGAGAGTTGAAATAACAAGCAGTAGGGAGTGCCACAGAAACCAGTGGAAATGAGCACTTTGACAGATGGAGGTGAACAGTGGAAATAAGGACAGAAAGGTGTCCGTTAGGGTGAGGCCAGGGAGGTACCTATGGTTTTGGCGGAGCCGTGAGCTTGTGGCCAGACTGAAGGAGGTGAGGTGTGAAGAGGAGACTCCAAGTGTAAACCCGTCTGAAAAACTCTGGCCAACGAGTAAGAGAGGGGAGATGTCCTTAAATCCCTTTTTGTGCATTTAGGAGTAAGTCGCTTTTTCTTTGTTCCTCTTTAGGTACAAAACGGATTTCATAGAAGAGAAGGCATCTCAGAACCCTGAGAGGATAGTCAAGCTGCACAGGTAAGTAAAAATAAAGTTGCTGTCCTGCTAATTTATAGGAAGACTTAGGCAGTGGAATTGACCTGACTGAACGTACAGTTATGACTGAAAAAGATGAATCTGTGCCATCATTTGTTATTCTTGTTACCTTATTTTCTGTTGCTTTGTGCATTGTTTTGGTACGGTGGTAATTGGAAGGTTTAAATTCTCTTCAGGAGCCATTGTGGTTTCTGTTCCTCGTTTTATTGTTTCTTATTTCTATTTCCGCATTTCAAGAGTTGAAAACCATTGTTTAAAAATGTGATTTTTAAAACTTAACTTTGAAATTGGGCAAAATATTCATTGTTGTGAGTTGAGCATAATTCACGTGTATGTGCAAATATGGATACTGACTGGTAACTACTTATGTTACGTGTAAGTGAAATAGGAATGTGCTGATACTGGGATGAGGGAGGTAAGACCGTGCATAATGGATTTGCAGAAATGACTTCATGGCCTGTATCTGTGTTCTCAGCTTCATGTTTTCATGACTCAGTTAATTTTTTTCTTTTAGAAAGCTGCTCTTTGGACAATCTGTCCTGTATAGTGAGTTCTAAACTCTATTACAGTGAGTTGTTATGAGGTCGTAGATGATCGGTTTTAGACATTGGATTCACTTGATCAAGAGCATGATGTGTTCAATGATCTTAAAAATCTCTAAAGTTATATCAATTCTAGTAAGGAACAAGGTTTACTTGACTATAATTTTCATAGTTTTAGCCGCTTCACTTGAGATTATTACGTCAGGGGCAATTAGAGATTGAATTGAGCCATATAGAATGTTCTTGATTGTGGACATTGCCTCAAAGAGAATGAATAGATTCTTTTTTCCCCCAAACTACTCTAAACGATTTGATTTTGAGGTTTTATTTGTTTATTTTTAAAATCAATCAGATTTGGTGACTTCATTGATGTGAGTGAGGGTCCTCTTATTCCAAGAACAAGTATTTGTTTCCAGTATGAAGTATCAGCAGTTCACAATCTTCAAGCCACGCAGTTGAGTCTTGTACGAAGATTCCAGGGTCTGTCTTTACCGGTACACTTAAGAGTAAGTAAAGCTGAAAGTTTCAGGTCGTCCAATTTGGGAGCGGATGTCATTCTGGTTCTTGATTTTATACTAATTTGAAGGATGTACATTTTAATTTTCATTAAATTTTGTGACACTAATGTTTTGTAAATTCATGTTTATGCTAAGAACAATTTTGCTCAGAATGTAAACGGATAATTCACAAAAGAGATATTAGTTGAAAAAGTTGAATCAAACTGAGGTAGTTATTTTAATTTTTCAAATTAATATAGGGGAGGGTGCATTGAGATTATTGGAGTGCATGTTGGTAAGACCCTCTAGAATGCCTTTTGGTCTTAGGTTTGGCATGATCTATTCATGACTCAGAGTCTTTTATTTTCCATATTGCTCCCACCCGTCACTAATTTTTTTTTTTTTTTTTTTTTACTTTAAATCCAAGTCAGTTAACACATAGTATAATAATGCTTTCAGGGGTAGAATTTAGTGATTCTTCACTTACATATAACACCCAGTGCTCATCCCGACACTGGCCATCCTCCTTAATGCCCCTTGCCTGTTTAGCCCATCCCCCCACCCAACACCCATCCAGCACCCCTCAGTTTGTTCTCTGTATTTAAGAGCCTCTTAGGGATTGTCTCCCTCTCTGTTTGTATCTTATTTTTGCTTCCCTTTCCCTATGTTAATCTGTTTTGTTTCTTAAAATTCCACATATGAGTGAAATGATATGATATTTGTCTTTCTCTGACTGACTTACTTCACTTAGCACAATACACTCTAGTTCCATCCACGTTGTTGCAAATGACAAGATTTCATTCTTTTTCTTCGCCGAGTAGTATTCCATGGTGTGTGTGTGTGTGTGTGTGTGTGTGTGTGTGTGTGTGTGTGCGTGCGTGTGTGCGTGTGTGTGTGTGTGTACACACACGTATATATTCACACCACATCTTTATCCATTCATCAGTGGATGGACATTTGGGCTCTTTCCATACTTTGGCTATTGTCGATAGTGCTGCTTTAAACATTGGGGTGCATGTGCCCCTTCTAATCAGCATTTTTTAATCTTTTGGATAAATACCTGGTAGTGCAATTGCTGGCTTGTAGGGTAGTTCTATTAATCAACTTTGGATTCTGAGATAGTTCAAAATCTTTGTAGGTCCACATGCAGTTACAAGAAGTAATAGAGAGATCCTTGATCCCTTTACCTAGTTTCCCCAATGCTGACACCTTGCAAACTTTCGCAACCAAAGTATGGACTGTGACACAGTGAAGATGTAGTACAGTGTCTTCACACGGCTCTCTCCTATTGGATATCGATAGCCACGCCCACTCTCCTCTGCCCCACCCCCACCTCCTTGCCCCTGGCAAATACTCATCTGTTCTCTGTTCCTATGCATTTTCATTTCAAGAGTCTCATATGAATAGGATCATGCATTGTGCAGTCTTTTGGGATTGGGTTTTTTTCACTCAGTAGTAATTCTCTGAGGATTCATCCAAGTTGTATGTATCGGTAGCTTGCTTTCTATTTCTTTCTTTCTTTCTTTCTTTCTTTCTTTCTTTCTTTCTTTCTTTCTTTCTTTCTTTCTATTGCTGAGTAGTATTCTGTGGTGTGGATCTACTGTGGTTGGTTGAACCATTCACCCATTAAAGGACATTTGGGTTGTTTCTAGTTCTTTGGCTATTACGAATAAGGCTGCTATGAACATTGGTGTACCAGTTTTTGTGAATATATGTTTTCATCTTTCTGGGATAAATGCCCAGGAGTAAAGTTGCTCGGTTAGAAGGCACATATTTAGTTTTTAGGAAACTATCACACTGAGTTCCACAGTGACTGCCATTTTGCCATTCCTGGTATTTGACATTGTCACTATTTTTTATCTGAGCCATTATGGTAAGTTTGTATGATTTCTCATTGTGGTTTTAATTTGTGTTTTCCTATTGGCTAATTGTGTTGACATCTTTTCATGTGTTTATATGCCATCTGTATATCTTTTTTGGTGGGAAATTTATGTTTTTTGCTTATGTTCTAACTGGATTGTTTGCTTTTTATTGTTGAATTTTGAGAGTTTTTTCCTAGTATATTCTAGATATCGGTCCTTTGTTAGATACATAGTTCGCAAATACTTTCTCTCTGTGGTTTGTCTTTTTATCTTCTTAACAAAAGATCAGAAGTTTTGCAGATCATAAATTTTAAATTAAAAAAAAATTTTTTTTTAATGTTTATTTTTGAGAGAGAGAGCATGAGCAGGAGAGTGGAAGAGAGAGAAGGAGACACAGAATCCAAAGCAGGCTCTGAGCTGTCAACACAGAGCCCAGTGTGGGGCTTGAGCCCATGAACTGTGAGATCATGACCTGAGGCGAAGTTGGACGCTTAACCGACTGAGCCCCCCAGGCTCCCCAGAAGTTTTTAATCTTGATGAAGTCCAGTTTATTAGTTTTTGTTTATGGATCATGCTTTTGGTGTTAATTCCAGGAATTCTTGGTCTGGATCTGGATCCCAAAGATTTGTCTTCCTCTTTTTCTCCCTAAAAGTTTTATAGTTTTATATAGGTTTGTGGTCCACTTTGTGTTAAGTTTTGTACACGGCGTGAGAAGGAGGTGGAGGTGCACTTTTCCTGCCTGTACGTGTCAAGGTTCTCCAGCACCATTTTGTTGGAAAGGCTGTCCTTCCTCCAGTAAATTGCTTTCACCCTTATTAAAAATCAGTTGGGCATATTTAATGGGTCTATTTCTGGGTTCCCTGTTCTGTTCCATTGATGTGTGTCTCTGTCCTGCCAGTGTCACAGTCTTGATTACTGTAGCTGTAAATAGTTCTTCAAATCAGGTGGAATAATTCATCCCATGTTGTTATTATTTACAAAAATTGTTTTAACTATTTTCGGTTCTTTGCCTTTTCATTTAATTTTAGGATAATCTTTCTGATTTGACAAATCTTGCTGAGATTTTGATAGGAATTGAGTTAAACCCGTATAATTTAGGGAGAATTGACATCATTACTAAATTGAGTCTTCCAGTCTATGAACACAGTATATCTTTTGTTTAAATCCTCATCTCTTTCATCAACATTTTGTAATTTTTAGCATATGTTCTGTTTTTCGCCACATACCTGCTTCCTGTCCTAGCTTTCTGCATTTTAGCAAATGGCATCATCATCTGCTTAGCTGTGAAGTGATCCTTGGCTTTTCTCTCTCCCTCCCAGCCATGCTCCGTCCCATCCAGCAGCAAGACCTTTCAGCTCAACTCTGAAACATGCCCTGAATACCTTCCATCACGTAGCGTCTCATCTGTGCTCACCACTCTTTCCAAGCCCCTTACTCATCACCGAGGATGCTCCCCCTCCAAAGCACATTCCCTGCTTAGTAGCCAGAATGGCCTTTTTCATACTCAAATCAGATCACGTAATCCCTTTGCCCCAAACACTCCAGTGGCTTCTTGTAAACAGATCCCAACCCTGTAGCCTGTCTCACAAAGGCCTGCATTACCTGGCCCCTGCCTGCCTCTCTGATCTCTCATAGCACTTTCTCTGTCGTCTGCTGTCTTCCAGCCACACACTCCGGGGTCTGCACCAGCAGTCCATTCGGCTGTCTTCCCTTTAAACATGCGATGCTGCTCTTTTCTCCAGAAGGGCTTACGTGTACATATAGTAATTTTACCTTTTATCATGGATTCTGCCAGGTCATTCATGTGACTTAGTAAAATTGATGTGGTCCTTATGCATTTGGCACAGTTTTCATCTGCATTCTGACGATCCCTTGCTATATAAAATTGTTAAGGATTAAGTAAATTGGTTTTATAATTTTATTATTGTCTGCGTTAGTTTTTACTTGTTCTTAGGGTAATTAGGTAAAACCTCTGGGGCTCCCATTTCAGTGTGAAGATATCAGTCGGTTTCTGATGAACCTCTCCTTGTGACTGCTGGTGGTGTGGAGAATGACCTCTAGCTGGTTGCAAATGGCTATTTAAGGAAAGAACTACAACCTGTGGGAAGATGGGGCACAGTTTTGCTTCCTGTTAGAAGAAACACTGTCTATGATGGTGATGATTAAGGACAAAAGAGGAAGAATGGCATGTTCTTTAAAAAGTCTTAAAAAAGACTTAGTCTTTTTTGCTTAAATGCCAAACAAAGTGGCTGTCCCATTAAATACCTTTTCCCCTACTCTAATCCACTTCTGTAACCACTTAACCTCATTAGTACTGCCTTCCTTTTTATGTGTTTGCTTGCTTAAAACCTATATAAGACTCAGCTACTTTTAACTTCATTGCTTTATTTAATTCATCGTGACTCTTTTCTTTTCAAGGCACATTTTACTATATGGAATAAGCTATTGGAGAGATCTCGGAAAATGGTAAGTATTTTTGACAGCTAATGCGTACTGTTCTATGAAGAAAGTTGTTTTGAAATTAAGCAACAACAACACAACAGTAAATAAAGAAATAAAAGAACACAGAAGAAAAAAGTTAATTGGTTGTCTCTGTAGCTAAAGCGGTGTTGTAGCTGTTGACCCCAGTAGTATCTTGGCAAGAGAAGAGCTGTAATTTGGCAATTCTCTTGTTTTTATTTGTGAATATTGTGGAAATGATGTTGTGGAACCTGAAGAAGAATAAGGGGACTGCTGTATAATAGCGATAGTTCTTACGGGGGTCCAGTGGTGTTAATTGGGTCTTCAAGAGACGGTATTTTTTGTAAGCTTAATGAACGTTTAAAGAGTGAGATTTGTCACATGTATTTTGAAGCTGCCTTGACTGTTGGTTGACAGATGTGCAAATTTCCTGGGTACTTGGGTTTGTAGCTCATTCTGTGTCATTAGTATTTACATTTCACAAGTAGGAATGATTATGTTTCTTGACCAGTTCTATCCCTGTTTACTCTTTCATAGACTAAGTACTTAGTCTTTAGTTACATTATCTGAGAGCTATTCTGTGTAGTCTGGCCTCCTTGAACTCATCCTGGTTATTGTAATTTTCCACTCTAGTCAAGCTTGCAAATACACTCAAACTTTTTTTTTTTTTTAGTTTACATTCTTATATCACTTTATTTCTTCCCAGCTTTACTGAGATGTATGACACCTAACATTGTTTAAGTGTAAGACGTACCCTGCAATGATTTGATGTGTGTATGGATTGCAGACCGATTACACAACAAGGTTAGCTAGCATATCCATCACCTCACAGAGTGACATATCCTGTGTGTGTGTGTGTGTGTGTGTGTGTGTGTGTGTGTGTGATGAGAACTTTTAAAATCTACTTTCAGCAACCTTCAAATATACAACACTAGTATTCTTAACTCAGACTTGTTTTCTGGTTTGTTTATTCATGGCAGTTTTTCTGTCTGGACTCTGTTTCCCTTTCTCCTCCTGTATATAAATGAAACATCCGACTCATTCTTCAGTACTTCGTTCAAGTCTTACTGTTTCCATGAAACCTTCTCAGAGCAATCACTGAACAAATATCTATTCCTACAGTTTCTGCTGGATTATATGCCTCCTCGTATAGTTTTCTAATTGTTTCTGCTAGTACTTTTACATTCAGTCTGTGAACCCAGTCAGTGCTTGTTATGTATGTGTCATGCCAGGTTTTGAGCTCACCCTTTGGTATGTGGGGTTGCTTGGGGCTGGGTTGGGGGGCTGGCTTGGTAGTTATCTCAGAGGAAACTGCTTGCCTAAAAGCACGGAGAAATGGAGAGCATGGTGACTAGAACATAAACCTGGGTGTACAGTCGTATGGAGTGTGGGCGATGAGTCCAACAAAGTGAGCTTCTTGGAAATAGCATCTGAGGGGCTTGTCTTCCATGGTAGGGAATTTGCATGCCCCTCCTGAAGGTGATTGGAGGCAACTGGGAATTTGAGAGAGGAAGTGACCTATTGGTCGGCTATTCCTGTTCCAGAGCTCACTCTGGGGCAGCACGGGAGAAAGCTGTGACGTAAGCCCGCAGTCTGTTAGAGGGATGGAAGAGATGAGAGCCTCAAGTTCAGGTGTTGCGGTGAGAGCCCCGGGTAGAGTTCGTTGAATTCTTGTTGATTGAAATGTGCACAGAAGAGAACCTGGATTCTGCAGCGGCAGGCTCGGGTAGCTGGGCAGAGCCCCTCAGCGAGATAGGTAATGCACGACATGGGGCAGGTTTTGGGGTGATGAGTATAGTTTAGCTGTTTGATGTGACACAGACTAGAAATAGGGACACACAGGTCCCTATTTCTACTAAACCTGTAATATTCTATGTTTAAAATAGAATTATGTCTCTCAAGAAACTCTGTTGATTAAAAATACTGTGTTACAGCATTACTGGGCTTTTTCTCACACTAAAGATTTCATTTTGTAATTGAAAAATAAAACGACAAACTTGGGAAGCCTAGGTGGATGCCTCATTATATTTTGAGTGGAATTGTTGTACTTTACTTGATAATTTCTGTTGTGACCCTGGCCTTATAAGGTTTCTTCTTTTTCTACTTACCTTTCTTTAATAATTACTAACGAAGGAGAAAGACCGGGGGTCATTATAGGAGAAGGACTGTGGAATGATCTAAAATGGTGGGGGGAGGGTGAAACTAAAAGTTGTTTTTATTAGAAAAGTAAAGCTATTCATGTTTTTACAGGTAACTGAAGATCAAACTAAACCTACAGAGGAAAGTGCATCGACCCAGTAATTTCCTAAAAATTAAATATATATAGTAAATTAAAATAAAAGTTTTCTACAAAATGTTTGTGTGGGCTTATAAAGATTAACTGTCTTTTTCTCCCTAAGATTTATACTAATTTATACTTTTTCCTTTCTTTAAAGGATAAGACAGCTTATGCTGTTCACAATAAAAATTTTACGCAGAAACAACCCTGCGCCCTCCAGCTCCCCAGATATAACACCTTGACATGTTTTCTCCATTCAGTTCTTTTTTCTACATGTATAAGCACATGTACAAATACAAGTGGAATCTTTTGAAAACAAAGGATCATACTAGTTTCCGTTTTTGCTATCTTATTTTTTTATTTTTGAGAGAGAGAGAGTGAGTGGGAGAGGTGCAGAGAGAGAGGGGGATAGAGGGTCACTCTGACTGCAGTGAGCCCGATGTGGGGCTCGAACTCATGAACCACAAGATCACAACCTGAGCCGCGGTCAGACACTGAACTGACTGGGCTACCTGGGCGCCCCCATTTTTGCTATTTTAAACAATGGCACGGTAAACATTTTTGTACAAAATGTTTAAGTGCTTTGCGGTTAGATTAGTTGAGTATTGACCAAGTTAACAATATTTCCTATGTTCTGGCCATGGTGCTAAGCCTTTCACATGGAATCTCTTATTTAATCCTCAAAATGTGTTGACAAGGCGTTTCCATTTTGTAAGGGAGGAAACCGACAGACTGTAGAACTGGCCAGTAGCAAAGCTGGAATGTGGACCCACGTAACTTCACCCGCATGCTCTACACCGCCTCACATATAAGTGACGTCAGAGGAATAGACTCTGGTAGTAGAATTATTGACAGATGCTACCAGAGCTTAGCCTCCACAAGGTTTTGCCAAATGGCAGTCCCAACAACAGTCTGGGAGTGCCTGCTTCCCGTGTCTGGGGCAAATCTTGATTATCAGCCCTTTTAAAACTGTTTGGCCAAAAGATTTCTTTCTGTTCCAGGTTGAACACTTTGCTTTCTGGGCTTAGTACACAGGTTTCTTCTGAAGATTTGATTTCTTCCCTGGGTGGGATCTACTTCCTAGAGACCATATCTTCCTGTTCCTTTGGGAACTTTCTCATTGTGTTGGAATCTCTAGTGAGTTCCATCTTAAGAAAAAGTGTCTAAGAGGTGAGCCCTTGCATGTCTAAAGGAGCTTTGTTTTGCAACTTACATGTGGCCAACTGGCTAGAGTTGTAGACTGAACTGTAATTTTCTTTTTACGCTTATTTATTATTGAGAGAGAGAGAGAGAGAGACAGAGCATAAGTGCAGGAGGGGCAGAGAGAGAGGGAGACAGAATCTGAAGTAGGCTCCAGGCTCTGAGCTGTCAGCACAGAGCCTAATGTGGGCTCAAACTCACAGACCGCAAGATCGTGATCTGAGCCGAAGTCAGACACTTAACCGACTGGGCTACCCTGGCGCCCCTGAAAGGTAATTTTCTGTCAAGATTTTGAAAGGAACTCCGGTTAACTTCTGGCATCTGATGTTGCTAATGAAAAGTCTGATACCCTGTCTGATTTTGTTCCTTTTTATATAAACTGTTCTCTTAAACCTGCCTTCCTCCATATTACCTGCCCTACCACACCCCTACATGCATACACACTTGGGGTACTTTTAGGACCTTGATGTTCTAGATGACCTAGATGTTTCATATCTATCTAGGTTTTTCATCATTCTGGTGCTTTCAATTTTGATAACTCTTTTGAGCTCTAGGGAATTTTTCTTTTTAAATATTCCTTTTTCTGTTTCTCTAATACCATTTAGTTAGGTTTTAGATCTGTATTTTACCCCTCTCTCTTTCTTTCTTTCTTTCTTTCTTTCTTTCTTTCTTTCTTTCTTTCTTTCTTTCTTTCTATATCTTTATCTTTTTAATTGAAATTCATGTTTAACAGACACAGTGTATCTTTCTGAACCTTTTTTTTTTTTTTTAAGTAGGCTCCATGCTGAATGTGGGACTTGAACTCGTGACCCTGAGATCAAGAGTTGCGTCCTCTACCAGAGAGCGAGCCCTCTGTGTGACTCTAAAGAACAGATAGAATTATATTCATTTATTTCCTGGTCCCTGAATTCTATCTTTCCTCAAGTGATAGATTTTTTTGCTTATCTCAATTTTTCATGTTTCAGGGTTTCCCCCCCAGCCTCCAAAATCTAGTGATTGTTGGTTATTAGTTTTAGTTGGAAAGGTGGTTATGGGGAGATTGGATGGCAGCTCTGTGGTCCAGGCAAGGTTTAGCTTTTGTGAGGATGAGTACTGATGCTGGCTGTCACGATGGGGATTTTCGAAATGCTAAAATGATGGGGTCTTCGGTTTCGGTGACCAATGCCTATATTGACCGCTCTTGTTCCTCCCAGACAGTTCTTTCACTTACGAGATCCCTCCAATATTTTGCCTGGGGGGAGGTAACCTGGACTCAGGCCTTTCTGTATTTGGAGATCGGGGATATGGGGTTGAGGTCAACTGGTTTGTATATAGACCTCTAATCCCCCTTTTAGCTCCTCTTCTGTCTTTTACCACCTCTGGGCTTCTCCAGGCCCATCGGCTCTCTCTTCTGATAGGCTCCCTCCACATCCAGTCTAGGTGGTGACATCCTCTACTGTTGTATTAGTCACATCTTTTGGAGATTGCTGGAAATTTCTTGTCTACTCCTGCTTTCCTCTCCCATCCCCTTTGTGGATTTATACTTTGATCTTTTTTTTTTTTTTTTAATTATAAGCTATTTTAAACAAAATAGTTGTGTATTTTTATACAGAGACATGCAGAACTTCACCCTTATGTGAGTGGACATCTGTCATGCTTTTCGGAGACCTAGCACTGTGTGAACATCCACTCTGGTGACTTCCCCCTTTATGGATCTTATCTCAGCAAGTGCAAGAGTGGAACTTACTTTCCGAAATTACCTGGCAGCTGGGGCTCAGCCAGGCTTCACGCCCAACATGGGACTTGAACTCACGATTCTGAGATCAGGAGTCGCATGCTTTACCAACTGAGCCAGCCTAGCTCAGCAAGAGTCACCAGCAGACACACTTGTGTGACATTTGGGAGTGACACCAGGAAGACAGAGTGGCACATGGGATGCACTTTGTCGAGGGGAGCAGTGACTTGTGGCTTCCAAGGCAGCAGTGCTCCAAGGGTGCCAGCAGGTCCCCCTCTGCAGCCACTCTGGTGTAAGGGCATTTCTTCAAGCTGTGTAACCCGATTTCCAAGCCTGGGCCTGTCTGCGAGCCATTTGTTTCCTGCGTAAACTAGCTAGAGCGGATCCCGTCGTTCGCAACTGGGCTTGTTGACGTGTGGCCACTACCCAAGTGTAACCATTGTTAACCTTTTCCCTTAGTTACTTCAGATCCTTGTGTTTTTAAATAAAAAGCTACCTCTTCATTGAAAATCTTCCTCTTCTCATTTCCTTCCAAAAACTGCTCTCCTTTTTGTGCAGAGCTGGACCCTTCATGATTTGCAGTGTGTCGTATCCTCCGTGTTTTAAACTAAACGCAGTTGGTTTCGTGATACATGTCCCTCTGAGACGTCTTACTCAGCATTATGTTTTCACGTTTAACATGTTGATACGTGCATAACTGGTCGATACGTGTAGTATTCGTTGTATGATTAATCCCATGATTAATTCATTTCTCCTATCGGTGGCCATTGAAGGTGGTCTTTTTAGTGTTACAAAAAGAACATCCTTGTGTAGGTTTCTTCGTGTACACATTTGAAGGGGAACATGCATCTTCAACTCCACTAGATGTTATTAGTCACGCCAATAGTTGTACCAGCTTACTCCCTATCAGCGGTGAGAGTCCTGTCTCCCCTCCCCCTCACACACACTTGCCATCGTCAGACATTCAGGTTGATTGGCTCTGCCTGATCCTGTCTTTTGATTTAGTTTGTTTAATACCGAACAGAACAGAGACCATGAGCATCTTTTCATTTGTGTTTTATCCAACACGGTTTCCTCCTCTCTGTGTTACCAGTTTATAGCCTTTGCCTCCCCAACTGGATCTTTTGTCCTTTTAACAGGAGTTCTTTATATATTCAGAAACTTAAACCTTTGCCACTGTACATATCTTCTCTAGGCTGGCTTACCTTTTAACTTTGTTGTGCTGGCTTTAATTTTACTGGGGTCAAAATTACCCATTTTTTCCTTTATGATTTATATGTGTTTAAGAAATTTAAGAAAGCCCTTTCTGACTTGAAGTAGCTCGGGGTGTTGTGTGGAAATGACGAATCACTAAATTGTACACCTCAAACTAATATTAACACTGTGTGTTAACCCACTGGGATTTAAATAAAAACTTGGAGAAAAATAAAAGGCATTGTTCTGTGCTTTGTAATATTTTCAAGTCTTGTTTTTCACATTTTTTGGTTGTGTGCTTGACGTATAATTTTGCATATAGAGGGAGGGAAGGGACTGATCTGATTTTGAATTCCTGCCTACCCCACGCGGAGAGTCACTTATTCTCTGCCATGTTCTTTCTCTCCACCCCGTGCTCCTGCCTTGCTGTCCTGTGTCCGATTCCTTCACATTCCCCGGGGGTTTTCACCGGCCCACGTGTCTGCCCTGGGCTGCTGCCTTGCAGTTTTCATTAGTACAGCTGTCTAGCATGTTCCGAGTTCTCGCTTATTCTCCTTTTTCAAAATTGTGGTTATTGTAGGACCAACTTATCAGCTTCTGAGCGACTTGTCTTAAAATCTGTTCTTCTGATTCTGAAATTTCTCCACCAGCTTTCTTTAGGTGATGGCAAATATTCTTTTACTCCTTTTGGCCTTTCGTGTCGCAATGCGTTAGGTTTTCTCTTTAAAAAAAGCATGGGGGTGGCACCTGGGTGGCTCAGTTGGCTGAGCGTCCAACTCCGGCTCAGGTCATGATCTCACGATTCGTGGGATCGAGGGCCGCGTTAGGCTCTGTGCTGACAAAGCCTGTGTCTCTCTCTCTGCCCCTCCCCTTCGTGTGCTCTGTCTCTCTCTCTCTCTCTCTCTCTCTCTCT